CTGTTTTTTTTCATAAGAAACACCTACATCTTCTTCAAGTTTGGAAGCTTCTTAAAAGTCCCTGCAGCCTCCAGGATGGTCATTTCATTGTCATTTAACCGCCTGTAGAGATACAAAGGGAGAAGACAAGTTAGGCTTTTATTTATTCATTAAATTAAAACAGCAGTTTTTTTGGTTAGAGAAGGTGGGCCTGTGATTGGAAGATTGTTGGTTTAACTCCCATTACTGTAAACATCAAAATGTGGGTGGGATAAACAGAGTTATAACAGAGCGATTCGTCATTGCTTAAAGTTTCATCTTCTGCTCTTGTTTCTTCTGCTCTTCTGCAGCCAAAGTCTTCTCTCTTCAATCTTCAGATCTGATCCAAGACTTCAGGGCTTGACGACCATGTTCCTCTTCTACCCAAACTGATTGACCAACTTTTCTCTGATATCTTTTCTTCTTAAACTCATCTCTTGTCTCTGATTGGCTCATTTCTGACCTAATCATCCATTTCCTGATTGGCTCATCTATGATCTAAAATCCATTTTGAAAACTTATCAATCATTTAAAGGGAAAGTTGTTATAATCTTAAGGGGATAGAGATATTTGTCAAACCAAAATTCAGAACTAGTCTGAAGTGAAGGTCTACCTCAATCCAAGGAATTGGATTGTGGAATGGTCTAGAGAAACGTTAAAAATGCCAAGTCAATGTGTACATTTAAGAAAAAGATCAAAGCTGAATTGTTAAAAAAAAATGAAGTAGCTTATTGTGTTTTGCATTAGAATTAGAGAAATTAGAAAGAGTTATTCGTTTTGTTCTGTTACTTGAAGATTATTATGATTGAACTAATTGTTTGAAAAAAGGGGCAGATATAATAAGATTTTTTTCTTCTTTCTGCTGCCTTTCATTTTAAATCTCTTGTATTTTTTTTCTATAGTTTATGGAATTGTTTTTTTTTTTTTTTTTTTTTTAATGAATAAACGTTATACCATAACATACCATACCATTTTGTAGACTTTTCAACAGCCAGTACAGTCTTTTTTTTTTTTTTTTTTTTGCAGCTGGTGTTCTATTTCGTATAGGCTCTCGGAGCGAATCGGATGGTTCCTCTGGGACTGATGACGTTAGCAGCAGCCCCGATGCTCGCTCCCTCCCGGGGAGCGCAGTGTTGGAACGAGGGGGGCCGAGTGGATGCTTGACCCCTCCGGGCTTTCCCACCTCAACGGCCACGTCGCTCCCTGCCGTCGGCGCACTCCTTTCGGAGTTGCCCGACATTATCCGGGAAGCTGCTGGCATGAAGGGACTTTCCGTACCCTTACCCCCCCCCCCCCCGCCCCCCCCCCCCCCCGCCCAGATTGGATGATCTAGCGGGAAGGTTTGGCTCCACTCCGGCTCGCCGTCCTGATCCCATCTGGCCTCGTTTTCCTGCGGTGACGTCGTATTGGAACGAGGCCGCAGCCGGGCCTGGTAAGCTGAGAGCGCCCGTCGCCACCTTCGCTCCCATCACCAGAGTGGAGGGGTTCACCGAGCAGGGTTTTCCCTCGGTAACCCCCTTGAGCCAAGCCTTGCGGAAGCTTTCGGAGCGAAGCTGTCCAAGTTGGAGCAGCGGCCCGTCCCTCCTGGGAAACATGACAAGACGGTGACCACGCTCTCCAATCGGGCTCATCAATGTGCGTTTCAGGCAGCCGCAGCCAACAACAACATGGCGCTGCTAGCATACAGTGTGTCCAAGAGGCTGGAGGCAGCAGATCTGCCCGAGGAGTCCAAGAGCTCCCTCTGTAAGGCAGCCGACGCCATCCTCAACATGTGTGCCTCTTCTGCGGTCTGCCTGTCCAGGATTGCAGCATGGATGACGATGATTCAGCGATCCACCTGGCTTTGTCACTCCCCCTCGCTGCCGGAGAAACTGCACAGAGACCTGATGGAGGGTCCCATCACGGCGGACGCGCTGTTCGGGAGCAGTTTCAAGGCCATGTTGGCGAACTCCAAACAGTCGGAGGAGGTGTCGGAGACTGTGCGCCACCTCGTCAAGACGCACGGTTCATCCCGCCCCCTGGCCCACTGGAGAGACCGTCGTGAACAGAGGCAGAAGCAACGACATTCCACGGCCGCCGCGGCGTCGTCTCGCTCAGCTCCACCACCAGCCCCGCCCGTCAGAGACCAGCCCGCTTCATCCCAGCAACCAGCAGTTCAGCGTTTCCCCAGAGATCGCCTGCAGACGGCGCCCTAGGCCAACAAATCGTTGAGCTCATGGGGGAGAAGATTTAAAAAATGACGGTCTGTGGAGGGTGTGTAAAAGTGACACGAAAGTTGAAATAAATCATCATTCAATGATCAAAGTGTCTGTTTTTAGCCAGTCTGTAAGCTCGGATGAACTCACAGCGGCTGCGCACACATCCTCCACACATAACGAGCCGGTGTCCCTAAATAAAGGTTTTTTAAACTCACCGTTGCTCCAAGACATGACGAGACGCTCACACTACACATTGGTAAGCAAAATAACTCGTTGTCAACCCAAGCTGCACGATCCTCATTTAAGCGGTGTCAAACGCGCATTTGCGCGACGCAAACAGCCTTCATCCAAACGGTGTTGATGATGGTGCACACACAGCTACCTGGCGCTCACCAGCTCACATCGGCATAAATGTGGGACCGCAGGCTGGGTCTGGTGAAGGCCCTCGTTCTCAGCAAGAGCGACACACGCCTCACCGAAGCAAATGTGTGCCGCTGCGACGCGGGCAGCCTTCACCCACCGCGTCTCAGCGCTCGGCCGCTTTCGGTAGCATAAGCGTGAGACAGCTGAGCGAACCCATTGATGAGTCTCGCCTCCAGCGAGAGCGGCGCGTGTCCCACCAGAGAAAATGTGTGCTCCCGCGGGGCTCGCAGCCTTTACTCAAACAGCACGGCGTAGAAGAAGTTGCGCTCTCCGCCTCTCAGCGTTCGCCCACTCATGGCGGCATATATGCGAGATCTCAAAGCGAACCCAGCGCAGGACACCGCACGTGGCAGGAGCGACACGTTTCACCACAGCGACGTCAAACGTGCGGCCCCATGGCATCATCAGCTGTCACACGCTTCGCCTCAACACACACCGGCCCACCTGGACATGAAGGTTGGTCCACGGTCCGAACGCAGCACACGGGCGCGTTCAGAGCCCTTTCGAGGAAGCCTTGCCTTGGGTCACGCGGAAAACATTCCCGCGACACATGACGGCGGTCAAGGCGGCGGACTGGATGACATCCGTACAAAACATGACGCATCACTTAAACGCACGTCCATTCCACGAACATCACGCGGAGTGGCTAAAAACATGCTCGCCAGACAGATGGATGGCCAGGGTGTTATGGAGGGAGCGAACCCAGAGTGCAGAACAGGGACTCAAATCGGCAGAATACAAAAATAGGAATTTAATGGTAAATAAAGATACAAAATAACAAGCTGACGGGGCAGCAAAACTTACATGAAACAGGAAGAAGGCACGGGAAACTCAGGAGGACTCAGGAGACACGGGAGACTCAAGGAACTAGGAAGACTCAGGGGGGAACACAGGAGACCCAACGAGTACGATGTGACAACGAACAAGACTGAACAGACTGCTTAAATACAGGGACCAGTCGAGACGTGATTACAAACAGCTGGGACGAGACACGGGTGGCACTAATAGACTTAATGAGGGAGCACGAGGGAACACAGACACAAACCGGGCCACAGAAAGGTACCATCCTTACAGGCACAAGAGAGAGAAATCAGACCTGATGTGAGATGTCTGTCAGTCTCGATAAACCTTTTGACTTCTGCGTTATAAGTGATTTTGATCAAATTAATTTTGTCCTCGACGGTTGCATGTAGGAACCGTCTGAGGTAATATTCCACATTGTCAAGATACGATATGACATCAGTAACTATGTGAGGGTCAAATTTTTTAATGTGTTTAGCAATCATGTCCAGATCTTTGTTTGTTGATTCAGATTGAGCCTGGGTCGTCATTGGTAGTGAGGAGGGATTCAGTCTGACCACTCCAGGTGTGTTTGGAGGGTAACATCAGAATCAGAATCTGAATAAACTTTATTGGCATTGCACCGAGATACAACGAGAATATGTACGTACAGTCGTCCGAAAGATGGGCGGAGTGCACGAAGCTGCGGCTATTAAATAGTGCAGCCTTCTTATTCTTATTCAGAATAATATTTTGCTTAGATGAGAAAAAGGAAGAAAACATGAGAAGAGACGGTATTAAAAAAATAGATCTCTCACGCTGTGTCCTAGACAGGGCACAATTTGAGGCATAAAAAAAACCTACCACAGCAAAGCAACATAAACACCTGGACAGGCATTGAGTCAATCACAGGGACACTTGGACAGGTCTCCAGTACATCACAGGGGCACCTGGACAGGTCTTCAGGTCATCACAGGGACAACCCAGACAAGTTTCTGGTCTTTCACAGGGATATCTGGACAGGTCTCCCATCGCAGAGAAGCCTGGACAGGTCTCCTGTCTATCACAGGGACACCTGAACAGACATTCAGTCCATCACAGGCACTCTTGTACAGGCCTCCAGTCCATCATAGGGAAACCTGGACAGGTCTCTAGTCCATCATAGGGAAACCTGGACAGGTCTCCAGTCCACCACAGGGGCACCTGGACAGGTCTTCAGTTCATCACAGGGACACCCCAGACAGGTCTCCAGTCCA